CTGCACCGAACCTGCCGTCTGATAGCCTTTGCGGTGGAAGCGTGGTGCCTACGCCGGTGGGGCGGTAGTGGCGCGGCGTACGAAGTGGGAGCCCCTTGAGGGAGACCGTGGCTGCTGTGTCCATTGGCTCCTGCAACCCAAGTGGTAGCCTGTCCAGGGATGGGGGGGGTCCTCACCCTCTTCTGCTCCTGGTTGTCCAGTAGCCTGCGCTTATGCTCCTGCAGTAGCCACTGCATGGACTTCTTGCTGATGCGCTCCGAGGGGTCAGGCTCGGGAAGGGGAATGCCCTTCTTCTCCGATGAGGCGACCCAACAGCGTTCGCAGAGCCATCTGCAGTTTTTCCCCTTCGTGTGCGCCTGCAGACGGTTCTGGGCAAGTAGCTCCCGGGTGTAATCGTCTTCCCAAGTGCCTGCAGAACTGTGGAGTCCCACGCTGTGGCATCCGTCGCAGTTGTAAGTGGCCTCCTTCTGTAGCCTGCCGAAGCGCCCATCGTGCACGACGGGGGGAACCAGCGCTGCACCTGGGGCGGGTGAGGCGGGGATGTCTTCGTCGAGGCGGTGGTTGGAGATGGCCTTTCCCCGGCCTGTGTACTGCAAGTCCTCCGTGGTCCGCGGGCATCCCAGCCCAATCTCTGACCCTGCCAGCGCAGTGTGATGCAGGCAGATGAAGCACTCTCCGTCAGCTGGCTGCACAATGTCTTCCAGTGCGCGTAGGGGGGCTTCCGAAGTGAATTCGTGCGTCTCCATCCCCGCCCACGTCTTCGGACAGCCATGCTTGCCAGCAATCTCGTGGTGGTGGGCGCAAGTGGCCAGGGTGCTCGTGTGACGCATGACCTTGGCAAGCTTGGTGTGGAGGGTTTCGAGGTCCGCCAGCTAGTAACACCACGTCGTGGCGAACTGCGTGCGGAACTCTTTGTGCGCTTCCTGCCGCGGGAGGCAAAGGCCCATCATTGCTTCGAAAATGTCTCCAGTGACCTCTGGGTATGGGAATGGCCATAGCGCGGCACGGGGCTTCCGCAACTGCAGCATCATGACCACCAGTAGTACCCTGAGTGCGTGGGGGGAAAGCGGCTGTCCGCCAGCGCCGATAAGCGTGCCTGTGAGCTCCGTGTTGATCCCCTCGGGATTGAGCAAGGCGTTCAGGTTCTCCATCCCTGGATGCACCCTGCGCCGACGACACCTGCAGGTAGTGCTGCTCCATGCCGCTGGAAACTGCTGGAGCGTGTCTCGGGGGGTGCAGTGACTTTTCTTCTTGGGGACCCGGTTGGAGCCCACCATGTGGGGTAGTGGTGGGGGAGATTCATACGCGACGCTAAACTGCTTGTCGTCCCATGGCGCGCCGAGCCCGAGGAACCAGACAATGGCCGCCCACGCGAGGTTGTACACGAGGTTGCTCGCGTCGATCCCAACTTCCACGTCAAGGCAGTGACCCAGGTGGCTCCATGCTTTCCTGTCTAGACTGCCTGGTTGCCTGGGTGTGGCCCCCATTTGCCATTGGTGGGGGTGTAATCCGGAGATGGTGTACAGCAGGATGCCCATGAGTGGGTCGTCGACCAGCGCCTGGATGCTGTCCGAGAGGGCGGCCCCAAGTTTCGCCAGCGAAAACTGCTCATCCAGTGGTGCCGCGATGCGGTCAGTGAAAGAGCTCTCCAATTTGGCCTTGGCCTTCCTGATGGCATCGTCCAGGCCTTTTACACTGTCGTCCCCGTTATGTGTGGGAGCAGCTGGGATCCACGACTCCAGGTCCTTGATGGGGTCGAACCCCTCGTCACAGTGTAGGGCGGTACGGTTGCCCATGTCGCTCCCCTGGAAGCGGACCCAGAGCCTGGCCATCCTCCCATACTCCGAGAGCTCCCTGAGGTGCGATCCCGTGGCGGTGCCGTCTTCCATCCCCGATTATGACAACGTGTGACGTGGCACGCGTGATAGCGACATTGACCCTTTTGGGATTGTCCATGAAACCCCAGTCGTGGCAGTAGTTGGACCGCGTGGTTAGGTAGATCACGATGTCTGCCTCGCCGCCTTGGCTAGAGTCGATGGTGGAGATGCTGAGCCTGCCGCTGCCCAGGTATTTCCCGGCTACCTGGCATATCCCTTGAAGGGTAGCCCGATGCCGTTGAGTGGTGAGCTCCACTGCTCGAAAACATGCTCGTGACCCCGATGGTCACGGGGGTGGACAGGGGGGTCGCTTGGCCCTATAAGCTCGCCTTTGCCATCGCCCTTATCCTTGTTCCTAGCCTGCCCGAGGGAGCCGGTGATGCTGCGCCCTGACTGGGGCCAGCCCTTCTCGAGCACCGCACACTGTAGTTGGTAGCCTACCACGACCAAGACTGTGGTCCCTTTTTCCATGGCCGGCATGAGGGCCCTCACCACGTCCACCGTCTGTGCGGCCTCTGGGATGTTTGCGTAGCCAGAATGAAGATTGGATGTGACCTCGACTGAGGGGCTGTCGACCAGGAGGAACCGGTGCCTTTCATCCGACGGCTGCGGTGGGGGTTGAAGGTCCCGTAGTAACGTCTCCATGTCGTCTGTGGTGGTCTTGGCTGATTCAGCCAGCGCGCAGAGCCTCCCTCTGTCCCAGGGTCGTACCTGCTGCCACGGTAGTCCTTCCACGATCGGTCTCTGCGTCAGTGGATTGGTGAGCCCTGTCCGAATAGCCTTGTTTTAGAAGGCCACGCTCGGCCACGACAAGAGAAGAGAACAATAACGAGAAGCCCGTCCCGGGGAAGACAACGAGACCTCTGGGAGCCCTCGTTGCGAAAAACATGTGTCGTCGAGGATCGAGGTTTCTGGATTTGATTGGTCCTCTTTCTTCGGCCTCCCGGGGTGCTGTTGTCGCCACGGCCGAATGTGCCTCGAACTTCTTGCCAGGGCGTAACTTCGGAGAGGCCGAGGGGGCAGTGCCGATACTGACGCTTCGGGCCCAGGCCCAGACCTCTGGCGCAAGAGCAGCTCGCGACGTTCGGTCCTGGGGCGACCCCTGTCGGGCCCCCAGGACACCAAGAGGCGACGCCGTCAGAAAATTACCCCGGTAAAACACCCTCATAGTAGCACAGGTGACGAGGCGGGTAGAAGAGCAAGAGGTCGGCTTGAGAAAACTGTGTATTCCAAGGTGTTCCGAAGGATTCCTAGGCGTGGCAGGGGTGAGAGCGCGGCCATGTGCACCGCAGTGTTTGCTTGACAGGGGGTCGTGGCCGTGTGGCAGGTGTGAGAGCAAGGCCATGTGCACCGCAACGTATGTTTTCAAAAGGATGTGGCCGTGTGACAGTGGTGGGAACACACCCATGTGCGTCGCATTGTTTTTTGAATAAAAAATCATGGGATCAACTCCGTGTGACAAGGGTGAGAACACAGCCGTGTACCCTCTAGTGCAATTCCACCAGCCCTTCAGGGCATGAGTGGGTCAGAGCGCGTTCCTTTCCAACCCCCCTTAATCCCCTACGGGGAGAGATTTATCAGTGCTCCCTGATAATAAACACCCCACCCTCAGGCGGCACGACCAATGACCCCCCCCATCCCTGTCAGAAAATAAAACGAAGCAACCTTTGTGGGAACATCTTGGGTCATATGTCATGCTCGGGGGTCCCGCGAGCACTTTGTATTGTGTTTTGCCTGCGACGGCGTGGGGGCCCTCATCTTGCCTGCTTTGAGCAAGGCCACCATCCCAGTCAAGAAACAATGCAACATGCACTTCGCGGCTAAGTCTGGATCGTGCGCTGCCAACCCCTGGTCACTGTCCATGTTTTTGACAAGGACTGCGGGGGTGGTGGCATGCTGCCTGCTTTGCGCAAGCAAGGCCACCAAACACCATGATGGCCTCCCCGCCGCGATTGTGCACTGGTGTTCAAAAAGGATGGTGGGAGCCGACATGTTTCTCTATATGTGCTGGCACGTGCACGGGCGCACCTGGCACACTCTGCGCGTGCCCCAGACGTGCGCACCTGGCGCGGCTGGCGCATGCGGCACACATGGCGCACGTGGCGCATCTGGCGCGAGAGGCGTGCCCATCACGCTTGGGCCCCAGGGGTGCCTGGCGCACCTGGAGCACCTGGCACGCGTCGCGCACCTACCCCCATCGCGCGCATGGGGCCTGCATTGGTTCCCAATCGCTGCCCATCCGTAAACGGCCGCTGAACATGCAGACGTCCAGTGCACCACATGGATTGCACCCCACTGGTTGCCCAACATGGGATGAACCACGCAGCTTGCACCACGCAGCTTGCACCACGACATGCCCACCTGCCGTCTCTGAAGCGCGCCTGGCGGACCACCGTGCAGGAGACCGCGGCAAGCGGGAGCCCCGAGCCCGACGGCGGGCGGCAAGTCGCGGGGCCGCCGGGGCCATGAAAAAGGCCCCCCTCCCGATGGCCTCCCGGGCTCGCTGTTGCCCGGGCAGCCGCCACGCAATCGCCACCGTCTCGGCCTGCTCGATGTTTTCCCTCTTGGCTCTCGCGGAGCGCGGGCTCCGCCCCCCCAAAAAAAGGCCCTGTGAGCCCGCATCCTAGAGATGTCTCGCCTCCCTTGGCCCTGGTCGCCTCTGGCCCCTGGAGGGTCATTCAGTCAACCCATAGACTAAGGACGCACGAACGGGATACAATGGCCTTGGATGGCCATGTCGACACTTCGTGAGCGGGGCAAGGTCAGCGAAAGCGGCCAAGGATGGACCAAAAGTGCCAAGGATGCGGGTTGACTGTATCAAACTGCGGGCCAGCTCGTCTCTGTCTGCGCAGGCCGAAGCATGCTCGATCCGCTGTGAGCCATCGGTCTTCACAGGGCTGGCAGAGCACAGGAGATCGACAGCTTATCCGTGTGCCTGCTCACGCCCCGACCCCACGAGGAGCCAGAGCGGGGGCATGGATCAATTCCTGGCCTCCAGGACTTTCGAGCCGCGTCTCTCATCCATGCTCTGCTTCTCCTGGCGCCGACAATGGGGCATCAGCTGGAGCATGGATCGAGCGCCGATCGTCGACCAAAGCATGACCTGGCAATTGAGGGCGGCGCACGCCGGTGGGCGACATGGAACAGGGGCCGCCCTCCTGGCGAGGGGTGCCGATGCTGCCGCCGCTGCAGCTGTTGCCACCCGCCGCTGCAGATGCGACTGCTGCTGGCGCCGATGACGATGCTGATGACGAGGATGATGATGGTGGTGACGACGATGATAGTGATGCTGCTAATGATGATGGTGGCGAAGCTGATGATGATGACGATGATGACGATGATGACGATGATGATGATGATGATGATGATGATGATGATGATGATGATGGTGCTGATGATTATCATGATGATGATGACGATGATGATGATGATGATGGTGCTGATGATGATGATGATGATGATGGTGCTGATGATGGTGCTGATGATGATGATGATGATGATGATGATGATGATGGTGCTGCTGCTGCTGAAGATGATGATCCCCGCGGCTGAATGGGTCAGGAGCTCCTAGCTCGTACTGCCCCTTGGATGAGGATGAGTATGATGATGCTGATGATGATGATGATGATGATGATGATGGTGGTAGTGGTGCTGATGATGATGGTGCTGCTGATGATGATGATGATAATAATGATGATGATGATGATGATGATGATGATGATGATGATGGTGCTGATGATGGTGGTGGTGCTGCTGCTGCTGATGATGCTGATGCTGATGCTGATGATGATGCTGATGCTGATGCTGATGCTGATGATGATGATGATGATGATGATGATGATGATGATGATGATGATGATGATGGCGCTACTGCGGTTGCCGACGGCCTCGCGCAAACGTGGCCCTGAGCACGAGTGACCTCTGGTGAGCGGCTTGCGGGTCGCGGAGTGCGGCGCGGCAAGGCTGCCTGCGCGTGCTCGGGTCTGGCCCCCGCGCACGTCCGACGCGGGCCGCGCACCAGTGGTTCTCCTGGAGGGGGGCGCCCGGCGCCTCGACTTTTCGAGACGCCCTCGGGGTCTGCCCGGGGAACCAGTGCGGCTCTTCCTCATACGTGTTGAACTTAGGCGTGTTCCGGGATGGGCGCATGCGAATGCCCGTGCCGTCGTCGCGGATGATGCCGTCGCCCCCACCTCTCGAACACTTCCCGGGGACTGACTTCTGCCCCCGAGCTATCTTTTGGTCGGTCCCGAGCCCTGGCGAGGGCCCCGAATTGCCGAAAACGATGAAACATCTCTGTCACGATGTTTTCCAGACGCCAGAATGCTGGGCTCACGTGTATCCAATGCTGATGATCCCTTCGCCGCGTCCGGCCTGCTCTCAACCAGTACATTGCTAACCAGCACTGTGAAACTTCCACCTGGAGAGAACGAAGAATGGAGAGAATATCGACCCGCGAGCGCGCCACCGTCCTGGTTTGTCAAGGTCCCCGTTTAGGGGGGGCCTGAAGGCCGACCAGAGCGGACCCTCCGGACGGCCCACGAAGATCAGGAGACTCTCTAGAGTCTGGAGGCGTGCCGCAGAAGATGGCGTCCCTAGGGAGCTCCGGGTCAACGGGGATGGCGGGTGGGACGAGTCGTCTGTCGGAGACGGGGCCTTTGGCAGCTCTCGGCTTACAGTAGAGAGCTCTGCACAAGAAGGGCCATCGGGGTCGCGAGTGAGGAAGGCAGGTAGCAGAAGAAGGGCAAGTAAGTGGAGACACGATCGACGAGCGAAGCGAACAGGCCGCCTGCTGCAAGGCGTCCCAGGCGGGGGGGCACGGGCGGCAGAAGGCAACTAGGGGCCAGCGCCCAGTATCATGCCTACTTGCCGTCTCCTCCGCACGGACGCAAGGGCGCTGAACTCCCAGTAACGTTGACGCGAGGAAGGCGGATCGCAGGGGGGGGGGAATGAGGGAGGAGGGGCTGGCGTCATCGCCATCGGTGATGACGACGACGACGACGTCGACGACGACGACGGCGACGACGGCCCCGACGGCAGCGTCGGCGGCGACCCGAGGGCAGCACCGTCGCCGACGGGGGAGGGGTGCAGCACCAGGAGGGACGGTGGGGGAGTAGTAGGAGTAGGAACCAATGGCGAACGCAAGAGTCCCTAACAACAGAGACGATGAAGGAGAAGACCCTTGCAGCCGCAGTTGAAGGTCGGCCTTGCTTCGGGCTTTGGGGGTGAGCCCATTTCCAATACGTTGAAGGTAGACCTTCCCAGTGCGGGAGGGGGGGCAGCAGGGTTTGCCCAGCACCTGTTCGGCTACAAAGCAAACTAACAGTTCAGAACTGAGCTTGCCGAAAACTTTCCAAGTCCGCGGACGCAAACACGCAGGCGAACTGTGGCACTAGAAAGGAAGACAGAAAGGAGGAGGCCCGCGGCGAGGGGAGGCCGCACTCGGAACGTGAAGTCCAGAAGCGCGTGCCGGGAGAGCACGGCGAAGTGCTGGGCGCGTGCAGAGAGGCAGTTCACGAGGCCGGAACGTAGAGCCAGAGCCAGGGACACCCAGGGAAAGGTTGAAGCAACCAGATAAAGACTCCGCACACGACTGCGAAGAGACCAGGTGAAGATCCAAGCCCGGGGCGAAAGATGTGACGAGCATCGGCGACCAGGGACGGCAGAAGTTGATGCTGTGAACCAGGCACTAGGGCCACGAAATCAGCTGGCCAGAAGCATGAGCGGATCCACTCTACAAGTCTATCAGCAGCCAGGCGGTCGGAAGGAGGACAACGACGAAGACGAAGACGAAGACACAGCCGAAGACGGCGACGGCGACGGCGACGGCGACGGCGACGACGACGACGGCGACGACGACGGCGACGACGACGACGACAGCAGCGACGACGACAACGACGACGACAACAACAACGACAACGAAGACGACGACGACGACGACGACGGTGGCGGCGGCGGCCCCCAGACTCGGACCTATCCTGGGATGTTGGGTGCTTTCTGGCCAGACCCCCGCGGGGAACCCGGCCACGTGGCCACGAGGGCACCCCAGCCCAAAGGGCGAGAAGCCTCCGACAACGGCAACGACGACGGCGGCGGCGGTGGAGTGCGGCGGGGAGCAAGAGGAGCATTCTGACAGGAAGCTGCATCGACGTGCTCTGAAATTTCCGGCTTGGTTGCCTCTCAGCTTGGGCGACCACGGCGGCGGCGGCGCCCAGTACGCCGACGAAAAGGGCAGCGACAGCGGCGGTGAGCGCCCCCCCCACTTTGCCTCCTGCCTCGCTGGCCCGGAGAGAAAACCTCCCTCCTCCCTCCTCCCTCCTCCCTCCTCCCTCCCTCCTCCCTCCCTCCCTCGCGGGGCGTCGACGAAAAGGGCGAGCGCGGCGGCGGGCGGTGGGGCAGGTGGTGGCGAGTCCGACTCCCGGGCGTCCGAGGCGGCGGCCTGCGCAGAGGGGGGCCAAGACTGCGTGGTGACAGACCGCGCGGTGACCTCGAAATCCCGAAACACCTCACCACAGGGTCCGTCTTCGCACGGATTCGGGACCCCATATGCCGAAGCCTCCCGAGACATCCAAGGAAAACGATCCGAGTCCTGAAACCTTACGGCGGCCCTGAACCCCCACTGACTCAACACGAGCTGTGGTCACCGCATACTTTCGTCATTGAGGGACCCACCGCAAGTAGGTAGGCGTGACCTTAACGTGCCGACATGTTGAAAGCATGTGCTGGCTTTATGTTGCTTTAGCGGCGGCGGGCGCTGTCCCAAAAAGACAACATAATGAAGGCAACGTTGTTGCGCGGCGTCGCATTAGTGCTCCAAACTTTTGGGGCCTCCGAGAACCCGCTGATCGAGTCGCATGCGTCGACTCGTGGGCGGCCCTGCCAGGGCAGGACCCGCTCTCGCTCTCTCGCCGCCGGCTGCTCGGCGCCCCCCTCCCCCCCATGAGATCTGGCACTGCCGCAAAACATACGGCATCGCGAGAATCACGACCTGAGCCCTGGGCCCTACCTGTCTATGTCATTATTTCGGGTCGGATCGATCTGTGAGGTCCCCGGGGCCCGAAACCCTGGGCGACAACGCCAGTGTTGAAAAAGTGGCATCGCCAGGATCTCGGGGTCTCCCTCGCACGCTCGCTCTGGGGGAACAAGAAGCACCGGTACCGCTAAGTACTCCACGGACCTCTCCTGGGGTGCGTTCTGACCAGAAGTTCGAGGCGACTCCAGCGGTGGCGACGAGGGCCTCCAAGGAGGCCCCAAACAGGAGAAACGGGGCGAGGGGTAGCGGCATCGGTGCCGTTTCCCCCTCCGACTTGCACCCCCGCCGCCTTCCGCCCCCCCTCCGCCAGCTCCTGCTGGCGTGCCCGCCGCCGTCCGTTTCGACCTCCCAAGGCTTCCAGCGGCCGCCCCGCGGTATGGGCACCTCGCGTCTCCTCCGACGCTTTTCCCCCGCCGCCTCCCCCGGGTCGGGAGTAGCAGCGGCGCCCCGAGGAGGCAAGAGGCAGGCTCTCCCACGTAGCGGTCCGGGAAATCGGGTGCCCCAAACAGTCCTTGACACGAGAGAGTGATACGCTCGACTCAGCATTCTGGGTTTGATTCGAGCAGACACGTCTCAGCGCATAGGCTAGGACGGGGCACGCACACCCGCCCAGCGGGAGCAGGCGACCCAGTGGCTGGCCACCCAGAGCCCCGTCGAAGCCTCAAACACCGCCGTCCCAGCGGCGGCACGTCCACGCCCGCGGCCGCGGAACAGCCGAGGGGCGGGGAAGGAAAACCGATTCCTGCCGCTGTAGTTCACCTGCCAAGCAGGAGCGGCGCAGCGACGTGCTCGAAGGCGACGCTGCCTCTTTGGAGGTTTCGGTACTTTGGGGGAGGGCGGGGAGGAAGAGAGGGAGTGCCGACTTCGAGCAGAGGATCGACTACAGGACTGATGTACCCCAAATTTGCTTGTTCGTCGAGTCTACAGTGGATAAACCTGATGCTTGTGGATCTACGTAAATTCGCTGCATTGTTTGTAAAAAAACGGCCAGGAACCCAATCCTGGGGTGAATCAATTCTGTAGTCGATCCCCTCGTCAACGACTTCGAAGAAAGGGAATGACGACTTACGTGTGACGACGGTGTGCCGTGTGTCGCCGCCGCTCTCTTCTGAAACAGCACCGGGGAAGTATTCGCAAGAAGGACTAAGGATGATTAGGCCTGATTAAGGGCACTCAGATCGGGGGCGCCCAAGAGGGGGGCGTCCAAGAAGGGGGGGGCAAATCATAGCCGGCGGCATGTGCAACGTATTGAGCTAAGATAAGGCGCCATGAGGGAGAGAGCGTGATCCACCGCCGCTTTACCGTGGAAAATTCTCCCCCCTCTTCCTCCGGAACCCGGGGTCCCCCCCCTCCTTCGAAAATCCCTCCCCCCCCCTGCTGGAGTCCCCCGTCCCCCCCCTTCCCCTGGCAAACCCCCCCCCCTTTAACCCCCTCCCCCCTCCCACCCCCTCCCCCCTTTAACCCCTCCCCCCCTCCCACCCCCTTCGAAAACGGGGGGGTCACTACCGGTTCGAACCCCCCCCACCCCCTCCAGAAAACCGGGGGGGGGGTCACTATACCAGTTCGAACCCCCCTCCCCCCTCACCGCCGGCAAACAAACGACTCCCGGGTCCCCACCACCGTCCGCACCACATCCCCCACCGCTGTCCCCAGCACCACCGTCCCCACCACCAGTCCCCTTTTCCCACCACCGTCCCCACTGTCCCCACCAGTGCCCCGACCACTGTCGCACTGTCGTCCCCACTGTCCCCACCACTGTTCCCACCACGGCTCTTCCAATTTTCCCCACGGTCCCCACCACTGTCCCACTGTCCCCACTGTCCCACTGTCCCCGCGGTTGTCCCACTGAGCTGTCCCACTGTTCCCACCACTGTCCCCACTGTCCCCGCAACTGTCCCCACTGTACCCCTGTCCCATTGTCCCACCACCGTCCTCACCACCGCCCTCACCACTGTCCCCACCACCACCGTCCCAACCACTGTCCCCACTGTCCCCACCACTGTCCCACTGTCCCCACACCACTGTCCCCACCACCACCGTCCGCACCTCTGTCCCACTGTCCCCACCACTGTCCCAGTGTCCCCACTGTTCCCACCATTGTCCCCGCTATTCCCACCAGTGCCCCCACCAGTGTCTCACTGTCCCCACTGTCCCCACCACTGTCCCACCACGGTCCCACTCTCCCCATTGTCCCCAGTCCCCACCACTGTCCCACTGTCCCCACTGTTCCCACCACTGTCCCAGTCCCCACTGTCCCCGCCGCTCCCACTGTGCTGTCCCATTGTCCCCACTGTCCCCATCATTGTCCCATTCTCCCCACTGTCCCCACCACCGTCCCCACTGTGTCACTGTCTCACCACCGTCCTCACCACCGCCTCAACCACTGTCCCCATCACTACTGTCCACACCACTATCCCACTGTCCCCACCACTGTCCCGCTGTCCCCTCACCGCTGTCCCCACCACCACCGTCCCCACCACTGTCCCACTGTCGCCACCACTGCCCCACTGCATGTCCCCACACCACTGTCCCCACCACCACCGTCCTCACCACTGTCCCAGTGTCCCCACCCTGTCCCACTGTCCCGAGGAGCGGGAATCGTTTGCTGGCGGCGAGGGGGGGAGGAGGGGGTTCGAACCGGTAGTAACCCCCTCCTTTTCATGATGGACGGGGAGGGGGGGGGGTCGAACCGGTAGTGACCCCCCCCCCTCGGTTTTCAAAGCGGGGGGGGGGGGACGGGTTGGGAACCCCTAGTGACCCCCCCCCTCGGTTTTCCGCCAGCAGCGGTAGAACACGCTCTTTCTGAAATCTGGGGAGATATCATGGCCCCCGCAATAGTAGTATCCCCCCCCCACTAGTCATCACCCGCCTCTTCGCCGTAGCCCGATCAAACGGAGGATTAGACTGGATTGGATTAAGCCCGAGCCAAATTGAACGGAATCCATCGGGATTGAGCCGAGCAAGATGAAACTGGACTGAGCCAGACGGCGTCAATGTTCAACAATTGGTATGCCAACGCCGATGCTGAATTTCACCTCTCAAGGGTTGCATACGTGTGACGATGGTCCCGTGTGTCGGCGTCGTTTTGAAGGTCCACTGGCGATGCGGACACGTCAGATACGAACTCCGCTTGGAGGAGAACATTGTTGCACACTAGCTGCGTCGCTGGCACGTGTTAATCATGATTATGAGTGACATCATCTGCGCAGTATTCTGTGATGAGGCTTCTGCGACGCCCGATGGGACAGAGGGTGTGCAAATTGTCGTGAAACCACCGTTGATTCTCGTTACTCTGATCAAATCCACGGCATTGAGTCCGAGTCTGCCACTCCACTGCTGTGGCATTTAGCTTCAAACCCACCTAACACTGCCACGCTGGTTCGGGGAAACTCCCAGACGAGTAGCATGGTAGACTCGACGTGGACGACATTAAATTGGGTGAGGTGCTGCTGACCACCTCGGAAGCAACGTGGCGCTGGCAGCGCGGACGACGCGGAGACGATCCGGGAGCTGGTATCCATCCTCGTGAACCGATGCCTCCTGACAAAGCAGGAAGCAGTTACGCATGCTCATGGCAGTGGTACTCGGTACTCCTGTGCTTCAGGGTTGCGAGGTTGTGACGGACAGCGCGGCAGCGCAAGGAGTCTGGGAGGGTTACAATATCCACGCCGACCGCACGAAGGGTCATAATGGTCACGGGACGAACAGTCAAGCCCCAGGGGCATCCAGATCTATGCTCATTGAGGCGAACACGTCAGATCATCTTGGAGAAAGAGACCTTGAGAAGATTAAGACGGAGCTTGCGGACCAACCGCCACCCTCTGATCCTAGAGGTGGTCGGCAAGTGACGAGCTCTGAGAGGCCGCCCCGCATTGCAAGCTACATACGATACACAATCCCTTTAAACTGGTCAGGCTTTCAGTCGTGCGCGCCAGAAATATGTTGAATTGGAGAAGATCCCGACCAAGCATCTCCAGAACATGAATTCAGGCAATACTTCGGCCTGGTCCCCCAGGAGCCATGTAGAGGAGGGCCCAGAAACACTTCAAGGACGTCAACCTCGATCTCGGACAGGAGAAGTGGACGTGAGGTGCGCCCTGTGTTTCAGTTGAGCTCGCCGCTCCTGTTGGCGCAATTGGCCGGGCACGCTCGGTCGGGGCCGCTGCCTAGGCCTGTGGCCAAAAGCTACAGAAATTCTGCCAACAACCCAATCGCTCCGCCAGAATCCGGGTTGCACAGTCCGCATGAAACCGAAGAGGTTGCCATCCCATTCCACCTCCTGAGCTTTCGCTCAAGCCACCTGCGCTCTGATTGCATGGCGTCCCGCCGTGTGTCATATGACTAATAACTTTGTCGATTTGCACTGGGCCGCTCGCTGAACATTGCTTCGCGTTGCTGTGTGTTGCCTTCCCTCACCTTGAAATAATTTGCCTTGCGTTGCCGTGCTTTGCGCCGCTGTGGAAGAAAGCGCTCCCCCCGTGATGAGAAGCATTGTCACACTACGGCACGAACGTGAAGTAGACGTGAACTGATATGATGCTGTTCTTTCTGTGGTTTCCATGCCGTCGCCGTCGCAATCACGCACCCCAGCGTTGTGCGCTGGTCTGTGTGTGATATATCTTCTTGTCCGACATCTTACCTTCTTATCTGTAGACCCCCACAACATAAATTGGTGCCGCGCCAGACACAATTGATGACCCCAGGGCCCGAGTCGGGCGGATAGATCGCCCGCGCGGCCCCTTCAAAAGAAGCTACCCATCCCCACACCTTGCGCTGGGGCGCATCTCGACCAGATCTGTTTGTGCGGAGCGGGGGGGGGGGGGGCGGGCCGTGGCGACGAGGCCCCAACCCACGAGGGGCCTCGAACGCCTGGAAACGTCGGTGGCGTCGATCCCCTTCGACCCTCGACCCGTTCCCTGCGGGGCGCCATGGGGTGAAGGCACACGGGGTGGGTCTCCGCAGAGGGTCTTCTGGGAAACTGTCTGAGCCTTCTCCGAAGCCCCGCCGCCTGCCGAGAATGCCTGCCCCCCCTCACTTTCCCCTCTGGGCGCGCCCCCGATCTTCCGTTCCCGCGGCACGACGGAGACTGGGGTGGAACGATAGGGGGGGCCAGCTACTGGGGGGAAACATTGACCTGGAATCGGCGATACATCGCCGATACATCGGCGATAGGTCTGATAGCGGACCGGATCCGCAGTTGTTTTGACATGGCAATCCCAAGGTGCAAAACAAAAACGTTACAAACTCGTCACTGCGCTGAGGCTAGTCTCGCCTGTGGGGCTCGTCAGTCCGCTAATGAGCCCCAGATGGCAGCAGTGCGCGAGCGATCTACAGTCAAGATGCGGTGGCAATAAAACCTGGCTCCACGCGTCCTTGTGACACCCTGTCCGCCCAACGCCAGGTCACGGGGAAGAGCCTCAGAAAGCAATGGGGTTGCATGCGGTGTATCTGCAGCTGCCTGGGCGGCAAGGGCTATCGGGCCCGCCTCTCTGCGATGAATGGGCGATCGGGGGTCGATGCGTCCCCCCCTGAGCCTATCCCCTCGAACGTTGCCCCCGAAACGTCTGACGCGGGAAGGTGCGCGCCCTGCGCGCGCCAGCGGGGCCCCGCCTTGTAGGTGCTGGACTCGCCAACCTGCCTCCGCTCCGCATGCACGGCCACGCCCGGGCCCTGCGAGCCCGCCTCACGCTTGCGCAGGCACGCCTCCGCGGAGGGCACTTCGAAGCGGACACTGGCAGACGCACGCGCCCGAGACCGAGAATTTAGACGTCTGGACGCCCCTGCCCCCTGCTGGGACTCTGGGAGCCTTCGAAGGGAGCACCAGGGATCCTGGACCTCTGGGTCGCACCACACCTTTGATCCCGTAGCCCCACCCCCCCTTCAGAGCCGGACGGCCCCTCCTTCGCAATCAAAGTTACCAAGAACTTGTTCGAGCGCCCACGATAGAATTGCGAGTGTAATGCATCGCGGAGCTTTCTTGAGGTCGACAGCGATGGCAAAAGACGGTGTTGCTAATTTCAAGAATTGTGCCACCCTCCCCTGGAGAAGAGTCCACATGCGTCCATCGTCGGTCGTTGAACACAGTGACAGAAGCACTCCCGGCACTCGTGTAGCAGCATGCTCGATGCACTCACAGCGCTTGTGCAGCACATGAAGCCCAATGGGGCATCGGCCATAACTGGGGAAACCAAGAGGTACCTCTTCCTCTCCTGAATAACCACGACCGTGGTGTCAAGAGCACGGATGTGTCGAGACTGACGTGTGCATCACTTTCACGCAACGCGGAATGCGAGATACCACGCCAGCGACTCTGATCCCCCCCAACGCCGGCGACACCTGGCACTTCAGGCAGTGCGCCTTGTCGTTTAGCCACTGGGGAACGCACTTGTACGCCGGGCCCCCCCGTCGGGATGGGCCGACGGCTCGCGAGGGAGCCTCCGCGCCTGCTCCCTGTTCCCGAGGGCATGGAGGTGGAGGAGAGAGAGGGTGGGGAGGAGGGAGCAGATGGGGAGGGCGGAGGGGGAGGACGAACAGGACGACGGGGAGGAGGAGGAAGGGGTGGGGGGAATGGAGTGGAACAGGCCCATTGCGAAGCGAAGTAACATGACCAAAGCACCACCCAAGCCATCTGCTCGGGATAAATTAGGCGAGCGGCACTTGGGCCAGAGGCCCTTGTGAATTCGATCGCAAACCTGCCCAGTGGGTGAAATACGTGGGAAACCAAGCACAGCTTTGCCAGGGTGGGTGGGCCTAAGCTGGAGACTGGCCAACGAACCAAACGAGCAGCAAAACCACACGTTAAGAGTCGGCTGGAAACGGAGCTCGTGCGACGAGCGGATCCACCCACCGCAGATACATACATACACATCTATGTATATATATATATATATATATATATACACAAGATTGCAGTGGCGCTTCGCGCCATGCACCTTGGTCCTTGAAGTTTGGTATGCAGGCGGAAATGGCAGGAAGGTCAAGCCGACAAATTAGCGATAACTCCTTGCTGCCTTTTCTGGCATCGCCGTTGAAATAATGTTGTTCGTTATCCTTCCTCCATGTTTGTTTTTTCCTCATTCTCGCCATACCCTGGGCATTCTCACCATCCTCCTCAGCTCTTTTTGCGGAGGCTCCTCCTTGGAGAGCCTCTCGGGGCCTCACCAAAGTCCTCGGGCATTCTTAAAAGCCTTCTGGAAGCCTCCTGGGCGTGTTCTGGGGGCCTCTAAGGCTTCCTAAGGCCAACCTGCATCTAACCGCGGTCTCCCTGAACGCCCCAGTCACGATTTGGAATGCTTCGGAGGGTGTCTTGGGGCCATCTTAGGCCGCCATGGGGCTCTCTTAGGGCCATCTTGGACCCGTGTTGTGCCGTTTTGGGGCTCTCTTGGATTGCCTGGAAGCCCTTTCGGATGGTTGCGGGGCGATTTGGGAGTCTCCCAGGCGGCTTCGGACGCCCAGGAGACCGCCGTCTTGGAGCGTCGGGAAGCCGAAAAGAGGAGAACCCCAAATGCACAACACACCTGCATAAAATCAATGATGTTTCCCTCTTGGGGCATTCTTGGGGGTGCTCTTGAAGACTCTTGAAGGCCTCTTGGTACGTTTTGGAGCGATCTTTCGGGGTATGACGGCTTCTTGGAGCGCTCTTGTGCTGTCTTGGGGGTCTCTGGGACGTCTCCGGTGACCCCCCTGATCGCCCTGGGCGTGCTGCGAAGGCTTGGCAAAACGCCCTGCGAGGCCCGGAGGGCCGCTTCGAGGCCCGTCCGGAGGGTCCCAAAGCCCCAGATCCCCTGGACCCGGTTTCAGGGGGGGGGGGGACGGGTTTTCCCCCTGCCCGGGCATAAAAAAATGTTGAAGGGGAATATATATATATATATATATATATATATATATATATATGTATATATATACACGCCGCGGAAGTTTCAACGCTGACAGATTAGGCAGAGGCTGCAGCTGAATGCGATCTGCTTTTCTTGATTCGGCCAAGCGGGCTTTGGAGGCACAGCTGAATTGTGGCAGCGAATGCAGCTCACACCAGCAAACGAGAAAGCATGCTGGGATCCGCCGAAGAAGGCGAGAGCAGCGGGGAACAACGGGGGTCGTCGGTCCTTCTTCCGCACGACAGCTCTCTGTTCCACGGCAGCAGTTTCCAAGTTCGCCCTTCGCAGGCGTGCTCTGACCAAGCTAGCCTTTTGCTCAGCTTGGGCCACACGCGCACGACAGGACAGATGCAGCCGAGCTTCGACGCCAAACACGCCACTTCGTCGGCGGCCTCGCGCCTTGGGCCATCCGGAGAGGCGTGCCCGAGGCCTCGAGAGCGGCCCCCGTCTGGTGAGAGGCTACCTGCAGCACGGCAATATTAGAGAACCGCGCTGGTGCTCGTGAGCACCGATGAGCCTCCAATGGTCCTGGTTTTCGACCCTTGGGGAACCAAAAAGCTCGTCATGCCAGCTACCTATTGCCGCCTGATTATCGGCGACGTGCACAAAAACACCTGATACACATTCCAATGAAGGAGGGTGCGCCGCTGGATCTCCCCAAGGGGGGGGGGGGCAGGAAAGGGGGGGAAGGTAAGGACCCCCCCCCCTCCCCGATCCGTCGTCGGGAACCCCCCCCCCCCCCCCCTTCCCCGATCCGTCGGGGAACCCCCCCCCCCCCCCCCTTTCCCCGATCCGTCGTCGGGACCCCCCCCCCTCCCCCCCCCCCCCCTACTACCCACTACTGACTACTCGCTATTCGCTACTCACTTCTCACTACCCCCTACTCACTACTCACGACTCACTACTCACTATTCACTACTCACTACCCACCACCCACTACTCGCTACTCACGATTCCCTACTCACCACTCCCTCCTCACTACCCACTACTCAATGCTCACTACTCACTAAGCAGTACTCACTACTCCCTACTCGCTACTCACTAATCAGTACTCACTACCCACTACCCATTGTCCACTAGCCACTACTCACTACTCGTTGCCCGCAAATCACTACTCACTACCCACTACTCGCTACTCCCTACTCCCTAGACAATACTGACTACACAGTACTCAGTACTCACTACTCGCTACTCCCATGCTCGCTACTCAATACTCACTACCCACTTCCCGTACTCACTACTCACTTCTCCCTACTCACTAGTCACTGCATAGTCTCTAGTCACTAGTCACAGGGCACTAGCCACTAGTCACTAGTCACTAGTCACTACCCACTACTCACTACTCACTAATCGCTACTCACTACCCACTATGAGCTACCCACTTAGTATTACTCACTGCTCACTGATTCCTACTTCCTACTCCCTACTCACTACTCACTACTCGCTACTCCCTAGTCGATACTCACTAATCACTACCCTCTACTCACTACTGAATACTCTCTACTCACTACTCTTTACTCACTACGCCCTACTCGCTCCTCACTACTCTCTACTCGCTACTCCCTACTCGCTACTCACTACACACTACCCACTGCCACTACCCACTACTCTCTATTCACCACTACTCACTACGCACTACGCACTACGTACTACTCAGTACTCACTAACTACTCACTACTCACTACTCTCTACGCACTACCCGCTACTCTCTACTCACTACTCACTATTCACTACTCACTATTCACTACTCACTACTCACTAGCACTACGCACTACCCACTACTCACTACTCACTGAGCACTACTCGCCACCCACTACTCACTACCCACTACTTACTACCCACTATTCATTACTCCCTACTCCCTACCAGTACCAGTACTCGCTACTCATTACTCCCTACTCACTACTCACTACTCACTACTTGCCACTCACTACTCACTTATCAGTACACACTTCTGACTATTCACTACTCACTACTCCCCACTCCCGACTCCCTACTCGCCACTCATCACCCACTACTCACTACCCAATACTCACTAATCACGACGCTAACTCACTACTCCCCACACCCTACTCCCAACCCCGCACTCCCTACACACCTTTCCTGGCGCAGAAAGGAGAAGCGAGAGAGGCCCCCCCTCCCCGGCTCCTTTTCCGGCGCAGAAGGGGGAGGGGGGGGGGTCCGACCCCTCCCCCCCCCTTCCAGCGCCAAGGGGGAGAGGGGGGGGGGGTCCGGACCCCCCCCCCCCCCCCGGGGGGGAGGGGGGGTCGCCCCCCCCCCCCCCCCTTAAGGGGGAAGGGGGGGATGGGGGGGGGGCTCTGGACCCCCCCCCTTTATAATGTATTCAGGGAGATCCAGTGGCGCACTTTCCCAATGAAGGCCAAAGAGCAGTGAGCTCCCGGCGTGGGGCCGACTGCTTGGCCCGAGACAGGTGGCCATGCAAATTGACTAGCACTTCGAGAGGGTCGAAGGGAGCTGCGCTGACGAGGCCATTTCCGATCCCACGTAGCCTTTCGTCGCGAGACTCTCCACCCCCCCCGCATCTTCGAAACCAAAAAAAGATGGCTGAGCGAGCCAAATCCAAGCGCGGCCGCATTCAGTGGCCCAGCTACGCCACTGGCGGTTCGGCCCCAGCCCACTCCGCGGGAAAAATGCCGCGCGGCCAAAGACATGCCTCAGCCTCGCGTCCCCGCGCGCATGGGGCGCCAGCTCGTCCGAAGCCGCGCGCGCGACGGATCCTGTCTTGCAGCTGCACTAGCCAGCAAGACCACCCGCGATGGAAAGCCGTCTCGGGGACCCCCTGGCGACGCGGTCAAAGGACATCGGCGCCGCCACCGACCTCGTCGAGGATTCGCTGCCTGGGGCAGGTGCCGCCCACAGCCACGCGCGGCATCATTTCCGCCAGCTGGCGACCACTCCAAGGAGAGCAGCAGCTTCTTGTAGGGCCCGATGTCGGCCCCACTCCCCAGCCGAGCTCCACAGAAATGGACGACGCCGGCTGCCGCTGCTGGGGCCGTGCAGACAGCTCGAAATCGTCGAGCAACGGTGTCGACAATAAAAGTTTCGTCGCGAGGCTACAGCTGGTCGAGTATGACAGCATCGCGGCCCTCGGCCCCAACCAGCCTCGAGCCCCACTCGGGAATGTTTACGCGGTCCCAGTCGCGCTGCGGCAAATAGCAAATGACCGCTCCCATGGGCCCACTAATACGCCCCCTGCGGTCCTGGGCCGAGCGGATCTGGCACTCCTGGGCCATCTTACTCTAGAGTGCGCGCATTCCAGCATGGATCTCCGGCGAGGACGCCCGCGGTGCTAATCGGAGTCTCAAGCGGCCCCGAGGCAACTTGCATCCTGGATCGTGGCCTGAACATCGACGGTCGAGCACGGTCGCCAAGGACCTGCCGCGTCGCTCTGAGCAAGCCACATGGCCGAGCTTCCTGCGCATCGGCAGCATGCTACAACCGACGACCCCATGGATCTGACGGTCGCAGTGCCCAGCGGGCTGGGCA